GCAGGAATTTAAAAAACAATACTAAGCATTTTACAAGATTCTAAGATGGCAAATACAGCTTTTTCCTCTGCAGAAAGAGAGCATTTCTAGCAGGCCATTCAAAACACAGCTCCAAAACGAAATGCAAGGTATTCATCACATTTCAGAGCTGGAAAAATTAAATGTGTGGAGGGAAGTAAAACAAAAAGCCTCAGAAATCCAACATAGCCACATGATGCCAGATAAATTTGAACATTTGCTGATCACTGTTTTTTCAGAGTAAGGAAGCAACGTGCATTTAATGCCTCGGCTGTAACTTAAGCTCTCCCTCAAGGCGAGGTCTGGCTCTGCAGCAGGGAACAAAGCAGGAAGTGCATGAGGAAAAACCTGCAGCCCCTTCTGCCCTCTGGAAAGCATTGCTGCAGGCTAGGGCCACCCAGGGTTACCCACTAGACTGAGGAAGACAAAAACGAGTAGGAAAATAAGACACTAGGGTTAGAGACTGTCATATTAAAAGAAAAGCTACAGAGCTGAAGAAGCCAACTGGCAGTCTCTTTCAGAATCCTTCCTGGGATTAATTTTGCTCAGTATTTTTTCATTAATGATTTTAACTCAAAATCAAGATATACTGATGTTTGCTATTTATGAAATAAACAGAAGTAACATTGCTGTGAGAGCAGAAGTCTTGAGATGAAATATAACAATTCAAACCAGAAATTAATAACTAACTTTCTAGTAGACGAGCTATTGTCACTAGTAAGGAAATTGCTCAGAAAGTCCAGGCTTGGACTCCATTGTATGGACTTGCTACAAAGGATTTCTCTCAAAATCCAATGGCTCCTTGCACCCTCATGACCTGCCTCACACCCTGCCTGCTATCCTAACTGCTCTGAGCTTTAGTCACAAAGTCATAGAACAGCTGAGATTGTTAGGAACCTCTGGAGATCACTCGGACCATCTAAACTCATACCACCTCAGGCATGTGCCAGTGAGCAGAAGCTACCATACTATTTTAAGACAATAAACAAGCACTACAGGAACTGGACTTGTCCAGGCAGCCACTTTTCAATAAGCCTTTATTTTTCAGGAATTCTGAAGCATACATTTTGCAAACAAGCCCATGAAAGTGAATGTGCAGGTTGTTCCTAGGGTGCAACTGTTCAAAGGTCTCCAAATTCTACTGAGCTCTCTTCAGATGAAGAGTCACCCATTTAGTAGCTTCTAAAGTCTGAGCCCATACCAATATTGATCCAAGATTATGACAGTGGTCCAAATTATTTTTTAAATAAGAAAATAATCCTTCGCCTACACTAATTTCCTTCTTTTTATCTACCTTTCACAAAGTAAGAAAGATTTAGAAGTACACAGGCATACTGATTTAATAGTTTCTCATGAACATTCACCTTCCATAGTAAGGTAATCAAAGTCAATCCAACACTTCAGCAAGAACATGTTAGTTATGACTGTACCAGAATTATAACAGCCAGGTATTTAAAAATATTCTGAAAATGACCTGTCAAGCCTAAGCATTTTCCATGCATGCGATTCCAAGAACGGGACTTGATTCCCTGCAACTATGTTCCAGGCCATGACACTAAGCACACTCTCCATAAAACCAAGACAAGACATAAAACCTATCGTAAGAACCTCCCTTCCAACCTGGTACTCTCTGACTCTGACAATCCCATGGAACTGGCAGCACATTTCACACCTATTGAGAGAAACAAAAAAGGACACAGCAACAAGCTAGCTACACTCCTTTTTGGAAAAGGTAGTATTTTCCTCACCAATTTTAACACCTACAAATTTTACATAACACTAAGCTAGATGGGTTTATATGGAAGATATTGAAAAGATGACAATGAACGTAAAAATTCTATTGAGAAACAATCACCAAAGCTGAACCAGGAAATATTTAAACCATTTATTCTACTTTCCAACTTCAAACATGCTCTGGGTCCTGTGAAAAGTTCTCCTTGAATCTTCCACACTTCCAGGATCTCTTGTTGGTTTTCTCCTGACACCTAATGTTATGATTTTAGAACAGCACCTTTCTATTTTGTGTTTCAGTAACAGAATTTTCCTCACTGTTCTGTTTTGCAATCACGATTTCAATTGAATTGTTGATTCTAAATAGTTTCACAAGTGACAATTTGTTACCTTTTCCTTTTCATATGGGTTTTGACTTTTTTCCTCTCTGCCATCATTACCAGTATATTCAAAAAGAGAACAAAAATTAAAAAATTCTTAGGGCCCTGACAATGGCCAATATTCCCTGTTGGAATTGTTTGTTTGTGTGGAATGAAGTTAAGAAACAAAAAAAAATATAATTTTTGTTTTAATTAAAAATGAAAATATTTTCAGTGCATCCCCAGGCTTTTTTTACAGCTTATCTTCTGGCACTTGGCTCCTTTCAATTGCCATATTAGGAAAATACTTTTAAAATTAACATTTTGAAAGGGAATATTAAAGAATGATCATTTTTGCCAGAATTCAAATAAATTATAATTAAAATACGGCTTTGATAACAGAAACAGTGAATGACAACAATGAGATTTGACAACTCAAGGCTTAGAGAATCATATGCAAAACATCAGGATTTTTTTCTCTTGCTTTTCAGTCAAGACATCATGTACACTGAAGATGTATACACTTGTTTTCTTATTTTGGTTTGAAAAAAAGACGTTTAGTTGCCATGTACGTAAGCAACAATTTAAATAAGTGTTGTATTAAGTTATAGAACTGTGTTTCAGTATCATTAATATTTCCAAAACAAGGGAATAAAAAAAGAGTATATACATACCTTTTTAATAGTTTTTGTCTGCACAAGAGCAAGTTCTCTGTTCTCATCTGCTACATACAAGGAAAGTTTCACATACGGGTCACTGCAAAAGAAGATGTCATATTTAACAGGAGATAATTTTACAACCAAGTGTAATTGTATTATATATTTGTCATTTAATTGGATAACAATAGCAGTTCTAAACAATTCTAGTGAAAGTGCTTTCAGTGAAACCTCATAATGGTAGCAAGCTACTGAAACATTTAAAATATGCATTTGAACATGCTCAGTTAAATATTGACCATAGCACTAAGGATAATTTCACTTGCAGCTTTGTCCCATTGCTACAGACAAGAACCACTTGCTTGCACACAACCTCTGCTCACGAGTATGCGTGTGGCTGTCCATTTAAAACCTGTCAAGAAACTATGTGAGCCTTCCCAGTAGAAGGGAACATCATCTTTGTTTGGAGAAAGCTGTGGTTTCACACTGGTCAATTCAAAGGAAGGTCAAAGGAAAACAAGACACACTGTTACATCTTACAGATTTCAGACTGTTCCACTGGGACCAAGGTTCCATCACATCTAATTTCAGTGAAATTAACTGTCTAAATTATACTGAAATATAGCAAGAGAAATTTTTTTCTAAATCAGATAATCTTAAAAAAAAATTAAAAATGGGACAACTCAGGTGTATTTCTACTGCAGTGTGTAGCCTTCCAGAGCTCAGGAATACTCTTAAAGTTTCAGTACAATGCCACACTGAGCTACTTCCAAACGTCTGAATAGGGTTGTGACTCAGGTAGTAAACCCACCCAAAAAGAAAATGTCGAGGAGAGGAAAGCAGATGCTCTGAGGTAGCCCTACAGAAATCAACTCTGCCCAGCAGGGCTGATGCTGAATTTACAAGATCCAGAGCTGACACTTCAGCCAGATGCCAGTCTTCTGGCATCCATAGCATCCTTGCACCCACACTACTGAGGCAACAGGCAAACTCAGGCACTACTGGACTTGCTTCCAAAATCGACAACATGCTTGAACAACAAAACCCCTCAGCCAGAACATGCCAGTGTTACAGAGCATGTTCTTACCAAAGAGAAGGAGCCATGAAAGAACTGTCACTGTACAGGAACTGCTGGACAGTAAGTGGAACATACTGACACTTTAAACTTAAGATTGAAGCTCAAAGACATCTTATACCCTGGTGCCATGCCATCTTTGAACCTCTAGTGTTGGACCCTCCTGAACTCTAGCATTACCTGCAAAAAACTGTAATGAAATCCAAAACTTATCTCCGAGGAGAGACACAGGAGACCAAGGATATTAAAACATCTCAATAATGAGAACACACATGACAGTGGCAAGCTTCTAACAAAGGGAATTCATTGCCTGTTCAAAGGCCTGTGACTGCAAACACCATGTCTCCTGTTTTAGAAAAATAACTGCTATTCAGGTCTAAGCAAAACATTCACCTACTTTAGTAATGAAAACATAATATGGATCCATCAGTAGAACACCTGCTCTCAGATGTTGATTTAGGAAAAACCCCAAAAAATCAAACTAACACAACCAAACCCATACAAACACAAACTGCCTGTCTAACCAGACCAGCTATTTCTAGACTCCCAGAAAGAATAAGAGAAACAAGAAATAAAGATGAAAGGTTTGGGACTTCAGAATGCCCCTGAAACACCTAAGTACAGTCAGCCTGCTGTGTTTCTAAAGGAGAGACTGTACAATAGAAACAATCTACTCAATGGACATCTGTAGGCTACCCTTACAAAGAAAGGGCCTGTTACCGGTCACAATAGAGCTGCCAAGAAAACTTCAACATACGGTTTGGTATTCTGTCTCCCACGTTATAGGACCCAATATCTACATAGAATTGCTCAGGCTTCCAGCAAGGCTTGTCACTGACCCATAGCAGCCTTTACCCTCCTCCCCCATAGGCTGTGAGGAGCAGTAGCCCACTGGCCACCAGGGAAGGCCCAGCTGGGCAAGGGGAGGCCCAAGGGCAGAGCCAGCAAGCCCAAAGGGCAGTGCAGGCACAGCTGTGACACGTGGCCCAAAGCACACACAGCTCGGAAGGAAGAAGGACCTTGACAAAGAGACTTCAGTGGGTAGAAAATACTGCTAATAATATAGAGAAGGTGGAAAGGGGAAGAACAGTAGATGCACTTGATACCCCAGAGCACCATAAAAGAACAAGCTCATTATTGAAACCTTTTTTACTGAAAACTGAAAATTAGTTTATAGATCAAAACAAAGTCTAAACAAAGCCACCATCTTCCCCAGTTAAAAGGCCTACTTTGCTTTATAACTTCAACTTATCCATTCCACCTGCATGGAAGATACACTGGCTATACCCATACAAGTCTGTCATCTGCTCTCTAAGTAACACAGTTGAAGCACCCAAGAACAATGCATCTACTAGCAAAAACTAAACAAGCTACCAAGTAAAAGGCAACAGACTAGCTGAGACTTCTTGGAGAGCAGCCATAGATAAAGCATTGAGCAAACTGGTGAAGAAATCAAAGACTGAAAGAAGCAGATCCACAATTAAGCATATAACTACAGTAGCAAAACAAAATATATAAAAGGTATCTCAGAACAGACACTAAGAGTCAAAGTAGAAGTAGAAGCACTGAAGGAACTTTACAACAACTAATTGCACCCTGAAGTCCCATCTAAAAGCATGTATTTTAGATTAACATGGCATCTTTGCAAGGTAGAACTGGTACTAACATGGAAATTTATCAGAGAGCATCATGAAGATCAGTAAAATTGAGGAAAATATGCAGGACAAAATCTAGCATCTGATCTTTCAAAAATCACTGGAAAAATTACCAGCAAACTGAAGGCAAGAGGAAATCCCATATTCCTGTCCAACAGCAGTATTTGTAGAAGTGTTAAAGAAAGGAAATCCTGATGATCCAGATCACAGAAGACAGAATAATAAATGAGATGCCTGCTGAGAGTACTCTGAGAAAACAACAAACAACTCAGGTTAGAGGGACCTTTTGAGCACAGAAGCAGACTCAGATCGGTCTGATACTAAAGTTGCTAGATATTTTCACCCTCAGATTTACGGATTAAAAGGAGAGAAGGCAGGGCATTAGAATGAAGCATTGTTTTCTTGACTTTTATAAGGAAGAAAGATCCATTCTTGAGGAAAGCTTTATAAAAAACCCCACATGATACTCCTGGTAACCACAATTACATGTGATGTCTGAATAGTTTCTTTGTATACTAAAAATAATTGGAAAACTCATTCCACAGTTCCTTTTGAGTGTCAGTCCCTGACTTGACTCACTGCTGATTTCCATCAGGTTTAAAAACTGAATGCTAGGTAACTTGAAGAGTATGATACTGGACGAGCAGAATTAAGCCCTTTAGTTCATGTAGATGACATCACATCTGACATACATTTGAACTAATAGTTCTGCAATTTGCTTAGAAAACTTGCTGTAGAGGTAGCTTTGAGAAAATGTACTGGTTTTGTCTTGGGAAGAGATTAAATGAAGACATGTAGCATAATAATAAAGTAGAAAACCTAATCTGTGATTTTTTTGCACCAGTACTTGTGTTAAAATCCAATCATAATGCAACCTGCAACATGAGAAATTGAAAAAATTGTGGATTTCTGGAAAGCTGCTGAAATCTATTAATGTAGTTAATACCCTAGTGAAAATTTACCTGGGTGTGCCAGTAGTACAATGACAGAAAGTGGACCTGGAAAATGAAACACAAATGTGGAGCTTGGGGCCGCTACAGATGGCAGTTCTGTACAGCCAGTCCTGTACCCCATTTGACACTGGACATTCCAACAGGAAGGTGTCCAAACCAGGGACACCAAGAAGGAAAGGTGACAGGCTGGCAGAGAGCCACACAATGCAAGCAAGTTCGTTGCAACCAAAAGGCTCTCCTCTGCAGGGATAACCTGACTGTAACAGTAGGAGATAATAAGCTCACATTTAGCAGGACAAAGAGGAATGTTATAATGCCTTCTTTATCTGTGAAGGTATTTATTGATGAAAGATAAGCTATCTTTGAGGAAGATTTAGTGGGGAGGTATGTAGAAATGTCCTTTACCTGCTCTAGGTCTCCTCTTCTCCCAACAGTGCTGCAGAAATTATACCCAAAAAGCTAAACGCAGGTGCATTCATAATAAAATGCAACAACATAACAAAAAGGAAAAAAAGCCCTCAAATTCCAGGTGCAGTGCAGGAGGTAGGCACAGCTACACACAGTCTCAAAGTTACAGTTTGTAATGCTTTACATTTCTTATACCTGACAATGTCATCACCCACTAATATCAGAAGGCAGCAGATACATTTCCTGTGTTTAATCAGGCAGAGTTTTAAAGTCAGTTTTTGTACAAAGAAATGAGCCCAATCATTATCATACTAGTGACTGGAGAGGAATGAGAGCTGATTTCTTGGACACACCTATCTGAAACATTCCTCTTCACAAAATCCCAAGATTATTAAAAAACATAATCTCATCAATCCGGCCGTGATCTGCCTAGAAAACCTAAAGAGAACATCAATGTCTGCTCTGAAGATTAGCGGAACTTGGATGCTCATAACAGTTCTTTGGAGAAGAACTGGAATCCTAAGAAAATAATGTTAATAAGACAAGTTCTGTTAATCATAACCATAGGCTAGTGCAAAGAGAGCCTGGCAGAGCAACAGCCATAAAAAAAATCTGAAGTCCTAAGAAATCTTTTATGCTGACCTTCTGAAATCCCCCAGCGATTCAGCATTATCCATTTGCCGTGGTTTTGCCAACTCCCAGTATTTGGTATTTTCTTAAAGCTCAAGCAATTGCAGATATGTAATTGTCATCTTTCATTTGAATCTCAGCTTGCAAAGACAAGCTTCCAGTTCTTCTACTGGTGAACAACAGAAAGCACTGATGACTTAAAAACTGAAAAGAAAAAATAGCCAAACAGATCAGCATCCTTTAGAAACTGTTACTGCAGAGTACTGTGAAACTGGGGCAGGTGAACAGCTTCGAATCTGTTCACTTGAGTCTGGAATTGCAATTGCTAAATATTCTTGAAACAGTTTGAAGACAATTCAAAACATCTTTTGCCAGTGAC